GGTGCTACAGGATAATGCACTGGAAAATGAGGTTGATTTAAACTGCTAGATCTGTGGTTCAAGCTCACCAACTCTTCCTTGGAATCCCTTTACAGGGTCACTATGAGTTGGAACCAACTCAACAGCACTTAGCAAAAACAACAAAGGAAGAACATAGAAGAATCAATGCATTTGAATTATAGCATTTTAGAAGAATACTAAAAACTAACATGCACTACTAGAACAAACAAGTCTTTCTTGGAAGAAATGCAGAATGTTCCTTAGAAGCCATGATTGCAAGACTTTGACTCTCATATTTCGGATGTGTTATTAGGAAGGACCAGTCCCTAGAGAAGGACATCATGGTTGATAAGTGGAGAGTCAGTGATAAAGAGGAAGATACCCAAGATGATGAATTGAAACAGTGGCAGCAGCAATGGGTTTATATGTAACAATTGTGAGGTGCCGGGTATGGAATCACTATGAGATTCTGAAACTCGCTCTCCAGCAAAGGGAAGAAATGAAGAGGTAAAAGAGCTGATTAGAAAACTTCACAAGTTAGCTTAAATGCTATAACAGAGTGTGCAGAGACCTGGAGTTTTAAAATGACAAGGGAAGAACACACTCAGCATTTCTCAAGCTGAGGGAACTGAAGAAAAAATTCAAATTCAACTTAGGTATTGAAGTACTCTATAGGAAAATATTTCATGATGCAGAAAGCATCAAAAGAACATGGAAGGAATACACAGTAACTCTACCGAAAAGAAATGGTCAATGCTCAACTATTTCAAAGTGTAGCATATGATCAAGAACCAATGATACTGAAGAAAGAAATCCAAGGTTCTTTGAAGGCATTGGCAAAGACCAAGTCACCAGTAATTGATAAATATAAATTGAAATCTTTCAACAAACCGATAAGGTACTGGAGGCACTCACTCATCTATACCAAGAAATTTGGAAGACAACTACCTGGCCAACTGATCTGTATTTCTGCCCATTTCAAAGAGAGGCAACCCAACGGAATGTGGGAGTCATCAGTCAATATCATTTTTACCATGTTCAAGTAATATTTTGCTGACGATAATACCAAAATGACTGTAATCAAACATTGACAGAGAACTATTAAGAGTTCAAGCTGGATTCAGAAGAGGATGTAAAACAAGGGATATCATTGTTGACGTCAGATGGATCTTGGCTGAAAGCAAGATGTTTACTTGTGCTATATTGACTACACAAAGGCTTTCGATTGTATTGATCATGACCAGCTATGGACAACATTGTGGAGAATGAGTATTCTGGAACACTTACTTGTGCTCATTAGAAACTTGTACATAGAATTAGAGGATGTAATTCAAACAGAACAAGGGAATACCAAACAGTTAAAATTAGGAAAGATGTGTGTCAGGGTTGTATTTTTTCACAATCTTGTTCAATCCGTATATGAAGAAAAACATGGCATCAATAACAACCTTCAATATGCAACTGATAACAACCTTGCTTGCTAAAAGTCAAGAGGACTTAAAATACTGATGAAAATCAAAGATCTTCATTCAGCATGGGTTGAACCTCACTATAAAAAAAAACAAGATTCCTCATCTCTCGGCCTATGAACAGCATCCATATAAATGGAGAAAAGGTTGAAATTGTCATTTTGCTTGGATCAGCCATCAACCCTCATGGAAGCTGCAGTCAAGAAATCAAATACATCATTTGATGTAGTTGCCTAATGCAATCAAGAGCAATGACTGAATCAAGAGCAGCTATGTCAGTCTGAGGACTAAGGTGCCCTTGATGCAAACCATGGTATTTGCATTTGAAAGTTGGACATTGAATAAAGAAGACCATAGAAGAATTGATGCATTTGAACTATGGTGTTGGAGGAGACTATTGAAAGTGCCATGGGCTGCCAAAAGAACCAACAGATCTGTGTTGGAAGAAGTGCAGTCAGAGTGCTCCTTGAATGCCAGGATGGCCAAACTTCGTCTCTCTTACTTCAGATAAATTATCAGGAGGGGCCAGTTCATGGAGGAGGATATCATGTTTGGTAAGGTGGAGGGTCAGAAAAAAAGAGGAAGATACATTGGCTCAGTGGACAGCAATGGACTAAAACATAACGATTGTGAGGTTGGCACAGAATGGGGCAGTGTTTCATTCTGTTGTGCATGGGTCACTGTGAGTCGGTCCCAACTCAATTACACCTAACAATGACAAAATTCCACAAGTACTACTTTGTTGTTGTTAAGTGCCTTCAAGTCAGCCCTGACTCAGAGCAACCCTGCGTAATGTTTCCAAGGTGTTAAATCTTTGCAGAAGCAGAAAGCCTCATCTTGCTCCCATGGAGCAGCTGGCAGGCTCGAATGATGGTCCCTGTGATTCCTAATGCAGTTCTTATTGTATGGAGCCTCTGCATTACCTGACTACTACATTACATAACCGTGTATTATCACTACTATCTCTCTACACATTTTTAGGAAATAAGATATTCTACCTTTGCACTGAGGTGGCTCTGTCCAGATCCCATTCATACACACCACTTCTACCTCTCCATAAAGTTTATAAGGTTTCTTACATTCATAACGTACTGTCTCTCCAGGTGGATACTTAGCCATGTGCTTTGAGACAATATTAGCATTGTTCACATTGGGTGGATTTCCACAGGAAACCTCTGAACAGAAAGAAAAAATATTTGTCCATTAGTGTTTGCTTTCAATAGTAAATCAATAAGTAGGAGTTCAAATATAATTCAAAGGAATTTTAAAAACAGTAATTAATCTATCATGATAAAGTTTGCTAATATAAAAAAATTACACCTATGATTAAGGAAAATGAGGTAAAATGTAATGCTGAAATATTTAACTTTTCACATCATTAAATCTCTCATCTATCTTCACTAAAATACAGACATTTTTTCCTTCCTTCTAGAAGCCAATGCAAATGAGAGATGTCCAGGACCATCTTGGAA